GGGCACCAGAGGCCCCATAGAGGTTGGACTTGATTTTCTCCCAGCGTTTCATGTGTGGAAGCTCATGGCGGGCAGAGCCTGCTCAGTTTGCTCCACGTGCCCAGGACCAGGCTGCCGCAGCACTTGGTCAGTTTTTATTGAGTGACTGTTGTTTGCTTTGGTGCTCAGAGAGAAACTTCCCAGGTCTGGCTTTCTGAAGAAGAAAGACGCCTTTTATTTTGATTTTCTTAGAAGGAAAAAAAAAATTAAAGAAATAAACCCTGGAATAGCTACAGTTTTATATAGAAAGCATTACTTCTGAGCTAAATGATTTTGTTTTTCCTGAAGGGAAATTTAGAAATTGTAGCTCCTAGTGGAGTTAGAGGGATGGAAATGAAGTCACGCACAGATTCACAGCAGCTGACGAACTCTGTTTTGAACCCTTATTTTTCCTACTTCTACAGCTTGCTATAAAAAATTCACCCGTCCGGGCCCGGTTCAGTGTTGCAGTAACATGTGTCTCTTGGGCTTCTCAGCAAATTGCACCTTTTCTTAGATGCAGTCAATGATTTGCTTTGGAATGTATTCGCTTTTCTGAGAACTCCTATACCACCTGATTCTTCTGGTCGTTTGCTGCAAAGAAACCCTTTGATTTCCAACCAAAATGGCCTCACAGATCATTTGGAGACTTGGGTGACAGGGAAATGGCCCCCTTCACCCCTTCCATCATGTCAAGCCGTCCCTTCCCCCATCCTATCTCCTGTGGTAGATAGTGAAGTATTCTCTCAGAACCACACCTCTTTGATCTTCTCGTCCTTCCAGCCTCAAGGCAGGTCCCTATTGGTTCAGGAACTTTTCTCTGAGCTCTGAATGGATGACATGATTCAGAGGCAGTGAATGTGGAATGAATGCATGTGCATCTGTGTGGTGCTTGTGTGTAAACCAGTGTGCGTCTGCTGACGTGCCCTGTGAGTCTGAGTGTGTGTGGCATAGCTGAGTATGGATGCTGGGTGCTGGTGGTGGCTTTAACCAGGAAGACATGGCAGTGGGCAGACACAGGGATGCTGTGTGTAGGAGAACCCCTACCCCCTTGGTGTTCATTACCTCTTTGCTCCCTGTGATACACGTTATTTGTTTGGGAGTGGGGCACCTGTTGAAATGATAACAGTTTAAACATCAACATGTCCCCACATAACCTGTTTCTCACTCACCATGTCTCCCTCTCTATGTTTTGAGAGTTATGGGTCACAACTCAAATCAATGAGCCTTTTTTCAGTACCTATTGTACCCAGTTCTCCATTCATTCCTGCCGCCTGGTCTTCTGCAAACTGTCCTCACGGCAGCCTTTCCTCTGGAACACACCTTACCCAGTTCCTGCCCATTCTTCAAAAGCTAACTGCACCTCCTATAGCCAGGAACCATCTCCCAACAATTTTGGCCACCGTCTCGTGGGTCCCAAATGCTTGCTGGCCTGGGAAAGGGCTGTGCCTCCGAATCGCCAAGGCTTTTAGAAAATACAAATGTCTTGCTTGGCCCCTGCACTGCATAATCTGATCAGTGGGTCTGGGGTGGGACCTGGGCATCTGCATTTTTAGAAGTTCCACAGAGGCAATTCCAGTGGGACGCATAGCTCCAGAGGCAAAGTGACATATCCAAATGCCCAAGTCCTTTCCAGTTGGCCCTGTGACTGTCTTGAGTTTAGGAAGCAGCCTAAAGACAGAACTAGCTTTGTGTCTCTCTAGGTTGCCCTGCAGAGCATAGCTGAGTTCAAGGCACTTGATGGCGTTAGTGAAGATGGCTGGGTCACGCCCACCCGTGACTCCTGAATTGGTGTCCCAGCCAGGCCTATCCTTTGAGATTTAGTCCTACATAATGACTGTGCTGATCATGAAATAACCCCGCCTCTCTGGACTCGGTCTGTGGTGCGGGAATGTGACTCTGCAGATGGCACCTGTCCCTTGCCAGCTGGCCCCGGGAGGCCCTGCTACTAGGAGGCACCAGAGGGAGCCTCGAAGGGGCAGAAGGGAAGTGCTCCTTTCTGTCTTGCTCACTCCTCTGGGCGGAGTCACTGCAGCAGTTTCTGGGCAGGTTAGCTGTTGCTGTCAGTTCCCAGCTTTTCCTCACACCCCCAGACCCGGCCTCCTGGGACTCCCTCATCCACCAGCGCCAGCCTGGCGTGGCTCCTGCTCAGAGATCTGGTCCCAGCTCAGCAGGGCTCTTCCTCTGGGCTTCCAGTTAGGGAATTCCCCCCCCTCCCCTCAGTCACCCAGTCCTGGGGTGACAGCGGCTCCCTGAAATTGCCACCTCTGTGCTAGCCCAGTGTCCCTTTTCTGTCCTCAGTCCCCCAATATCTGTTTAACCAACACCCACATTCAATTCTCTCTGTTAAGAGGACTGGTGTGGTTTCTGTGTTTCTGACCGAATCAGCGGCTTCTGTTTGATTCCATTCACTTGTCCCTCAAGCATCTTCATACTTTTAAAGGTTATTTTCTACGTTGCAACATGCTTTCACTTCCAGTACTCACTTGAATCTGACAACAATCGGAGAGGCAGGCAGGGCTAGGAGCATCATTCTCATTTTCTTAAAGATCGTCTGTAAAATATCTGATCAAACCACATCACTGTGTAGATGAAGATGCTGACACCCAGAGTGAGAGAGGGACTTGCTCCAGGTCTCCAGCAAGTTAGTGTCAAGTGAAGAGATAGTGTTAAAACCAGATCCTTGCCTCCCTTTTTATACCTCAGGAAGTATCCCAGGAGGGGGGACTCCATGTGTTTCATCACCTCAGCGACCAAATGATGTGCCGGGGTTTCTGTGCCGTTAAGGAATCCAATCTTGGGCTGGGGGAGGGCAAGTGCGGGGAGGGGATCACAAGGTATAGGTACACAATTATAAGATAAATAAGTCCTGGGATGTAATGTACTGCATGGGGACTACAGTTAATAATACTGTAGTGTGCGTTTTAGAGCTGCTAATAGAAATCTGAAGTCTTCATCATAAGAAAAAAATCCTGTAACTGTGTATGATGAGGTATGTGAACTCAACTTATTGTGGTGATCCTGTCACAATATATACATATAGCAAACCATTATGTTGGGCACATAAAACTAATACAACGGTATTTGTTAATTACAGTGTAATTTTTTAAAAAAGAATTCCATGTTGCATTTGGTAGAATGGCTTAACTGTTGGTTAAGGGGGCCTCTCAGCGAGTCCAGCTAGCTGTCGTGGTCCTTGCACTAAAGTTCACGTGTTCTCTAGAGAGGCAGGAGCAGGGTGCTGTGGCTTGCCTGGTTCTCGCCCTCCCGGTTGGCTCTGTGAGTTGGTGTGATCACTGTAATGCAACATTCATACCGTTCTATTTTTTTAGTATAATTTCATTTTGGTTTATCAGTAGTAAAATCCCTGCTGGCATGTCGTTTAATTTGCTCCCTGTGCTAATGCTAATTCTGAAGCCTTTTATGGAAATGATTATATGGTAATACCAAACCTGATGGTGGATTTGAGCCATCATTTACAGTAATGGGATCATAACGAAGCCCCCGGGGCAGTTCTTCTTGTAATGCTGTGGGGGACAGGGCAGGAATCTGCGTGGCTTCATTCCACATTACCAGAAGGTCCTCACTAGGGCCCTCCCTCAAGGAAAAGGCCTTTTCTGACTCTGATGCTGAGCCTCTGGACAAAAGAAAGGGTTGCAAAGCAGCAGTCCTCTGGGTGAAGGTAGGTGGCCTGGCCAGAGGGCAGCTGCCAGTGGGACAGCTCACGAACAGGATGGGATCAGAGGAAGTGGAGACCAGCGACTGCTATGCCTTTCTGCATTCACGCCCACGTCTGTGTAAACAGACACGTAGCAGGTGGGGCGTTCAGAGGAGGGTCAGTGTGTGTGCCTACCTCCTGGCACCAGGGCCTTTCACCCCCGTACCAACGTGCAATGTGATCCCCACTGAGCCTGGCACTGGGACAGAATAAATGAGACACCATCTTTGCTTGGGGACAAGGAGAGCTCCTGAGGACAGTGGGCAGGAATACCCGAAACCTGTCTCTTTAGGGGAAGGGGTGGCAGGAGGGACATGTCACCCCCACCTGGAGAGTAAGCCTGGGAGAAGTGGTTGAACAGGATCCGAAATGGGGTGTGCTCTAGAAAGAGGGTCATTCCAGGCAGATGGGGCCTTGACAGGCAAGAAACACTGGGGGCTCCCTAATTGTGTTGTCTCAGTGGGTAGAGCATCAGCCAGTGGACTGAAGGATCCCAGATTGGATTCTAGTCAAGGGCATGTACCTTGGTTGTGGGCTTGATCCCCAGTAGGGGGCATGCATGAGGCAGTTGATAGAATATTTTTTTTTAAAAAAGAAGCGCTAGGGGCTTCATATTGTCTGAAGGGCCAGGACAAGCTCAGCGAGACTGTAGCTGACGCGTGACTCTGCTGTGCTTTCGGGGCCTTGCTTCAAAACCCCACAGCGGAGCCTCGGACTAGGGCATTCCCTGCTCCTCCTTTGCTCTGGGGCCCAGAGGAGTAGAGCGGGAGGAGAGGGGGAGTTCTCAGTCTTAATGACTCAGTCAGACCTCAGGCCATGGATAAAAGTTATGGAAAGGCAAGTTCAGGCCCAATAATTTGGAAAAACATTCTAACAATGTGGCTGCTTAATATTGAAGTAGACTGCACGGTGAGGTAATGAGCTCCCTGCCCATCAGCGACTTGCCCACACACTGAAAGCTGGCTAGACTAGCGTTAGAATGCACAGCAGGGCCTGACTCACAGAGCGCCCTTTCACCACCCACAGCCTGGCAGAGCTGCAGACAAAACACCACAGAATTCTGGACTTAGGGCCACACCTGAGCCAATGGCGACATGGAGACTTGCTGACTGTTTTGTATCTTCGTGTCATAATAATGAACAAACAGCGAGGCATGTCATCAGGCATCCTTTTATTATTACAGAGAGGAAGGGAGAGGGATAGAGAGTTAGAAACATCAATGAGAGAGAAACATCGTTCAGCTGCCCCCTGCACACTCCCCACCGGTGAGAAAATACATATACGTATGTGTGTGTCTATATGTCTATTTTGTGGTGTGTCTCTGACCTTGCTGCCTGCTCTGTGGGGGGCTCAGAAGCGCTTCTGGAGGGCAGACTGGATATTCTTCAGCAGGCCCCACTTAGCTCGGTTCTTCCCATGCCCATCGGGTGTCTGCACCTGCAAGCAGAAGCCGAGAGCCGTGGCGTCAGCCACCGGGAAACCGCAGCTCCCCGGGGCTGGGCCCCTGCTGTGTGCCAGGTGCTACACATGTCCTTTCATTAACAACTCATGACAATCACATGAGGCAGGTGCCACTGACCCCATTTTATAGATGAAGAAACTGAGGCTCAGAAGGATTGGGTAGTTTTTCTAAAGTCTCACAACTAATTTGTGGTGGGATTGGGCTTTTACAGACTAGGTTACATGTTCTTTAAGGCACCTCCTGTGAAGGGGAGCTGATGACAGTGTTGGGGTTGTGAGCTCAGATGGGCTTCACCATAAACCAGCCCTCTTGGTCCTCCCCAGCCCCTGCAGTAGGGACAGAGGATAAACCAGAACTAGCATTGTATGGAAGCAGGTAAGATGCCCAGGAAGGCCAGGAGACCCTGATCTGTGGCTGAGTTCCATCCTGAAGGCAGCGAGCAGGGAGGGAGCAGCCCTGCAGAGACTCAGAGTGCCAGCAAGACCACTTTGTGCCCAAGTCAGACACAGGGTGGGGTGGGGGGAACTCCAGTACAGACAGAGAAGGAATTTGAGAGGATGGGTGGGGGCGGGGTGGCGCATTTCCTGAAGAAAGACCCAGAACAGCGCCAGTTTGACTATTGTTGGGTCTGAATTTTTACCTCCAAATCTGATGTAATTTAGGTCATCTGATGTACAGATTGTGGTAGGCAGAATAATGTCCCCTAAAGATGTCCCTGTCCCAGTCCCGGGAACATGTGACTGTATTATGTTACATGGCAAAGGGGAATTAAGTTGGTGCTCAGCTGGCCTTTAGGCAGGGAGATTATTCTGGATCATCAGGTGGGTCTGAGGCCAACGAGAACCGGAGAGATGGCAGGGTGAGGACTCATCCTGACGGTGCTGTCATTGAAAATGGAGGAAGGGGCCCTGAACCGAGGAATGTGGGGGATTGCTAAAAGCTGGAAAAGGCAAGAAAATGAATTTTCTCTTAGAGCCTCCGCCTCCAGAAGGAATACAGCCCTGATGACACCTTGATTTTACCCAAAAAGGCCCGTTTTGGATTTCTGATCTCCAGACTGTCAGATAATAAATGCATTTATGTTGTTTTAGCCACTAATTTGTTTCAGCAGCAACAGGAAACCAGTGCCTAGAGGGAAAGTTACCTTTGTCGTGGGGAGACTTCTTGGAAGTCTGCTGTGATTTGAAGTCAGAGGGAAACAGGCAAAGTAAGGAGACCATTTCCAGAAATGGGGATGGTGGTCAGCAGGTACATTGAGGATGAGAGGAAGAGCAGGAGGAGAAACTGAGGCCAAAAGGTAGAGGACTTGCCTACAAACAGATTTCTCCATTCCTTCAAAAATATCATTAGGGTTTTGGACGTTAGAGGCTCACAGCCGGGACTGCGGACCAAGGTGGTGAATAAGGCCGGCAGGGGGTCTGGCCTCACAGCACTTGCAGCCTGGCGGCGCTGGGGCTTGGGCCCAGGTACAGCAGCCCAAGTCCAATGTTCTTCCCAATGCACGTTCTCGCCTCTCAAAGAAACCAAAGTCTGGGTCTCGTTGCTGTTGGCTTAGATGACATTCTCCCAGAATGAGGTGCCAGGCCCCCAGGGCGGAGCCTGCCCTGCACCTGATTACGGTTCACGGGGGCAAAGCGCTCCTGCCTTGGAGGAGACCTAGCTTCCCACTCAATTCCTTTGAGTTACCTGAGCCAGACACCCCGTCTCTGTGAGCCTCAGTTTCCCTATCTGTAAAATGGAGGCTGTAACTCCCCACCTGCCAAGTAGTTCAGATGATCAGTGATCATGACTGTACAGCGTCTGACACAGCGTTGCCTCCAATAAATGGCACCTTTAAAAAGTATTAAAGTTAATTTTCATGCTTCACGTGCTACACTTCAAATAAAATCCCTTTAAAAAAATCAACAAGCCCCAGACTATGAAAATCAAATACAAAAGGTGCTATTTCACTTCCTTTACAAAAGTACATCTGATAGAAATATTGCATTTCAGAGAAGCAATGATTCCGCTGCCTCATTACATCATTTTAAATGAAACCTTTCAGGAATACCTGCACTGAACTGATGCCAAAGGAAAAATATTTCGATTTTATAGGAAAGAGCTGAAGTCATTACTTTTATGAAGCTTTATAAATGTCATTCAGACACACCATCTTATTTTCATTTGCCATTGAAGCCTTGACTTATGCAAATCATGACAAATGTTAAGGAAGCCAGTGTTCTCCTGGAATGCTAATACAATCAGAGAGAGGGAGGAAGAATTACTTCTGAAGGAAAAATCTATATTGTAGCTCTGTGACTCTGGTAAAAATGAAGCCTCCAGAAAACCTCATTAATTAGTGCTCTGCTCATTTAGAAACTGTGTTAAAAAGCAAAAGGATTGTGATGAGTTTTCTTCCCAGACACGGAGGGCAGATTAATCACATACACACCATTTCAGGGGGAGTGTTATTCCTGACTGATTGTGTAAGACACTTGGGAGCTTTCAGGCAGCTTTTGCTACTTTGTAATTATTAATTTTGTCTATCAATTTATTTCTTCACTCTTTAATTTAGACATCCATTCATATATCCATTTGTTTGCTCACATTTCACTCATGTATTCACTCAATAACCATTAAGAGCCTGCACTGTGCACAGTGCTGTGGTAAGCATTGTGGGAGAAAGAAAGATGAATCACACATGACTTCCATTCTCAAGGAGTTAAAGAGGGATGACAGACATCTACTTAAAGCCAACATACTTCAGTCTTCCAGCCCCATCTCTCTCCCTAGCATCTAAAAGTGACAGAGCAGCCCTGGTCGGTGTGACTCAGTTGGTTGAGCTTTGTCCCATGTCCCTGGTTTGATTCCCAGTCAGGGCACATGCCCGGATTGCAGGTTTGATCCTCAGTAGGGGGTATGCAGGAGGCAGTTGGTAGATGATTGATGTTTCTCTCCCTCTCCCCCCTCCCTCTTCCTCTCTCTTGAAAATCAACAGAAATATGTTTAAAAAAAAATGTCAGAGGATAACACTGACAAAAATTAGTAACAGTACTGAGTGCTCTTCATGGGCACATTTTGAGGAAATTTTTTTTTTAAATGAGAAAGCAGATGACATTAGATTGAAGGAAAAATCATGGTCAGAGGACATGCTGTGAAATGTGGTAGCAGCTGTGGGTGTTCCAGGCTCTGCAGAGAAGAGTAGCAACAAGAAGGGCTCTGGGGCAACCGACCAACACAGTGACTGGCTGGGGTGTGGCAGGAGGAACAGCCTTTCCTTCCCACTTCCTTCCCATGTGGGTGTCTGACCTCTGGGGGAGACGGACGGGGCCCATAGGGGTCTTGGGCTCCAGAAACAGACCATGATCCCAGGAGCTGGCTATCAGGAGGGAGTAGAGAGTCTCCCCTGTCCCCCTCCTTGAAGGAGGCCTGCTACTGGTAGACTCCTGTCCACACTCTACCTCCTGCTTCCTTTTATCACTAGAGGTAGCAACCCATCAGGTTCTCGTCTGCAAACAATGGACGAGAAAGAAAGGGAATGTCACCAGTCAGAGAGAGAGAGAGAGAGAGAGAGAGAGAGAGAGAGAGATTGAGACTGAGAGACAATGACCTTCTAGTTCCCTTGGATGTCATATGCATGCCCTGGCTAGAAGTGGTCTCATGAGACTCCTCTCTCTTTGTACTATTAATTTCCCTTTTTAGAATATGTTATTTTTCAATTCCAGTTGGCATGCAATATTATATTAGTTCCCATGTATACAGTAGAGTGGTTAGACAGTTACATAATTTACAAAGTGATCCCCCTGAGAATTCAAGTACCCACCTGGCACCATACATAGTTTTTACAATGTTATTGACTATGGTCCCTGGGCTGTATTTTACACCCCCGTGACTATTTTGTCACTACCACTTGGTACTTCTCAATCCCTTCCCCCTTTTCATGCAGTCCTCCAACTCCCCTCCCCTCTGGCAGACATCAGTTTGTTCTATTTATCTACATAAATTTCCCTTTTCAAAAGCTGAAATGGATGGACTTAATCTCTTTTTTTCTAAAAAATTCCTGATGAAAACATAATCTACTCAAACTGCAAAGAATACTGCCATTGTTGTACTGTAAGATAGCTCTGCACGGTCTTGGTATTTGTCTTCCTTTCCTCCTCTGAATATCCATAAAATTATACTCATGAATGTATGTCCCTGGGGCTCTATGGAAGAGCTAGCCTTGCATCACAAAGAGCGCAGGAATCGCCTGGCACCCTGTTTTGTGGTGTCCATCCTGACCCTTTCAGTGGCTTTCCTTGACTTTCAGCTAAGCAGCAAGTGAATTTTTTTTTTAGCATATCTGTATCCCAAATATACATATACTAAAAATATTTGTTGTTTGCCTGAGTTTCACTTTAATTGGGCATCCTGTATTTGTATTTGTTAAATCTGACACCTAATCCTTAGTTTCAGTCACCACCAGGGCTAACAGGTACCCCCCCCCCCTTTTTTTGTCCTTCTCACACCATGACTCTGTTTACTAGACTCTGAAGGCAAGGATTATGCCTTATTTTCCTCTGAATCTCTACAACCTAGCACAATGCCTAGCACAAATGTGTGTGTGTGTTTTTTTAATCAAACTGATTCTTAGGCCACATTCGCAAAGTTGGTTGAGGCCCTGAGTTAAGTTTTCTGGGATTAGAAGGGGCAGCCACTCTGTGGCATCATGATCATCCTAGCAGACCTGCCTGCATCCAGAGCTTACAGTGAAAATCTGTCTGAAAGGAGTGTGCACAGTACCTTGCAGATGTCACTCCATTGCCCAGGACCACTATCATTGATGGCTCTGACTTTAAACAGATACTCGGTGTTGGGGGTCAGGTTGTGCAGCTCCAGACTCTGCTGCGTTATGTCCCGAATTTGTCCACAGAGCTCTGTCCGCACATTGTTTGGAGGGGAAGAAATGACTTCATAGAATTCCATCTCAAAAGAGTCTACGTCTTCTGTCGGGCATGTCCAGTAAACCTATGGAGAAGTGAACATGTGGGTGTGGTCCTAGCACACGCCTTTCAGCTTTCTCTCCCATAAAGATTTGTGTTGTTGACTATCTGTGGGGGGAGTTTAAGCTGACCCCACCACCTCTAGCTGCTGACTTTGAGTTAGATCTTGTGCAACAGTAGTGAAAGGCTGTGTTATGAGGCCTGACTGAAGCTTGTGATGTGTTTCAAGAACAGAAAAATGCTCTTCTAAGTTCTGTTCCATGGAGGTGACCGTAGTCCTCCTAATACCACTAATCAGGTAACTACCATTTATTACACACCCATCATGCATCAGATTGTGCCAGACATTCTTAACTCATTTCATCCTCACAATCCCCTGGAAGGGAGGTTTTATTATCCCATTTTACAGTTGAGGCTCAGAAACCTTACTTTTAGCAAATTCCAAAGGAAGCACAGAATCCTACAAGATTAAAGGTGTATATATTCCAACCCTCTATTTTATATACCAAAAATACACAGAGTCCCACAGAGGTGAACTGACTTATTTAAGCAATGGAGGATATATGTTCATACTCAAATATTAATCCTTGGGAAGAGATATATTAACAAGTATCAATTGGCAGATTGTACCTGGCATGTAAATAGTCTGTAATAATTGTATTTTTAAATAGATATTACATCCTTTATGTTTTAATAAATGTTGTATTTATAAAATTAATTTATAATTACTCTTAAAACAAACAAACACACAGACATTTATTTTTCATAGTTCTGAAGGGTAAAAGTCCAAGATCTAGGCACCTACAGATTCAGTGTCTTGTGAGGGCCTATTTCCAGGGTCATAGACATCCTTTCTCTCCCTGTGTCCTCACATGGCAGAGGGGGTAAGAGAGTTCTTTGGAGTCTCTTCTTTTTTTATTTATAAATTTTTATTAAATTTATTGGGGTGACATTGATTAATAAAATTATACAGATCTCAGGTATACAATTCTACAGCACATCATCTGTATATTATATTGTGTTTCAAGAACAGAAAGATGCCAAAATGAAGTTTCCTTTCCATCACCATTTATTTTCTATCTCCCCCCGACCCCCTTTCTCTCTGGTAATCACCATACTATTGTCTGTGTCAATGAGGGTTTTTTTTATTCTTGCTTTTAAAACTTCATGAAAGTTATTTTTATGCTTATCAAAATAAATGTACTCACTGTGAAATACTTAGAAAATACAGAAAAGTTATAAGGGAAGAAAATAAATATTACACATAATCCCACAATTCAATTAATAATTATTATTTTTTCCAATTTTTGAATATATACAAACACAGAAATACATGTTATTTCTATTCTATTACTTTGATTCCTGCTTTATATCATTTATTATATATTTCCTTGCATCATTAAAAATTCAGTAATGCACCATTTTAATAACTGCCCCACAAATGATTTAGTCCTTCTATAGTTGAACATTTAGGTTGTTTCTAATGTTATCCTTTAATAAATAATGGTGCAATAAACATGTTTGGGCATGAATCTTGATCTGAATTTTTAATCATTTCCTTGGGAGGAATTTCTGAAACTAAAATTGAGTTTTATAAAAACTCCTTAGGATTTTTAAGATACATAACTCAAATTTTAAGAATACTTTCTATGCCAAAAGCCTAAAGGGGACTGTTAGTCAACCATCATTTGAGAGATTTCATCTTCTGCATTATTAAGCACTATGATTTCTGTGTGAATTCCATTCCATGATCTTAACATAGGGATCAAGGATATTTTCCCATCAAATACCACTCTCTTGACAGTCTATGACATGACTAGATTTTCCTGTGTAGGCTCCTTTTTTTAAACTTTAGAATTAAAAATATATCTATAATAATAAAAGCATAATATGCTAATTAGACCGGACAGCCAAATGACCTTCTGGACGTCTTTTCGGACAAAGCCATGGCAGCGGGGCCAAGGCAGAGGTGGTTAGGGATGATCAGGCAGGCAGGCAAGCAGTTAGGGGCGATCAGGCAGACAGGCAGAGTAGTTGGGGGCAGGCAAGACAGACAAGCAGGTGAGCGGTTAGGAGCCAGCTGTCCAAGATTGCGCGAGGGATGTCCAAAGGGTCCCCGATGGGAGAGGGGGCAGCATGGGCTGAGGGAAACA